TCTGATAGTCACACAAAACTTTCAGTGAATCTACTTCGAGATTGGACGTGCCTATCAGAGGTCTCACACTGTAAGTTTGAGTGCACATCGAAGAGTTCCAAATCAAATTGTTTTGAACCTTTAGTGTTCAGATACAGTAATCTGACAGATACAGGTAGAAAAGGGTTCAAGATAGAACTATTTACTGTATATTCTTCACACGACTCGCTTAGTTGCACAAACTTTTACAAACGGCCGTACTATATAATATGTTATCACCGTTTGATTACAAAAATTACAATTTGAACACTAGGGATTCCATCTGAGCTGACCCTCTTGCGGTTCAGTTTTAGCTTTTAGTTCCCGCAACGTTCCAGGACACGACCGCGATCATTGTTACGGCGTAGATCATTGCAGCCTCTACAGTGACGGCCTCTCTTTTACATGGTTGTTGGAATTTCATCCGGTTGAGGGCCTCTACCTGGTTGCCGGAATGTAGGGTCGGCAGACCCTACATTCCGGCAACCTAAACCCTAAAACTCCCCGCAAAGTGCGGATGTATGTCCATATGTTCTTATAGTCCATCGCTAGATCCGTCCGCCGGAAAGTGGAGCGATCTAGTTCAGTCACTTTGATGCTCCACCGGAAAATTGAGTGCCAATGAAAAACCTGCCCGGTTAGCCTGCCCGCACATTCTTCCATCTTTGGTCCAAAAGAGTAGAGTCGCAGCAAAAAGAAGAACTTCCGTCACGTGTCACTGCAGGATGACACCTGCCTGGGTCTATGAAGGCCCTATATAGGGGCTATGTATAAGTTTGTGCAGCTAAACCCGTCTGTCAAAACCCCCTGAAACGTGATGCGCCAGATGATCAGATGATGCTTGTAGAATGGGTACGGAATCTATGCATGGATGCGAACATACTGCTCGCTGTGGATCCAAAACTGGAGCCTAGCACTGAAAAATACGATGAGTTACAGGTGAAGGCGGATCTTCAGATAGAATACTCTCTTCTGAGCGCAATCCAGCCATGAGACCATCCATGAGTCCAGTGCGACGAATGCTCTCTGATCACGAATCAATCCCACCACTGGTCCAAACAAAACCAACTTTTAATTGTCCAAGCCTATCCATTTCCTCCATGCCTACTAAATAAGTCTTCAAACATGGAGGCGATACCTGTACTTTAGACAAGGATCCAACCTAGAATTTTCGCTCCGAATGTCAATTTAATAGATCTGAAAATACTAGCTCCACATAAACGCAGCTTAGCAGAAGCAAAAACTCGCTGTAATCTGAAAGGCTAGACTTCAATATTGTAACTTCTAATAAACGTTGCAACTTCTAGGCTAAGATGCTAATTTCTTGTGCTTGTAAATTCCTTCCGCACCACTTTGACCCATCTCCAATGTGATGGAGGTGGATAGTTAATATCTCTGGTCTGACGCAAACAAACCATATCAAATATAAATGAATCTACGTCACTCTGGTAAACAAACTGCAGATCTCAATTGTCTCTTTCTATTCTCACCGCCGTGACTCTCTTCCCCATCAGCTGCAGATCAGTTGCACACACTGCAAAGTAGAATATTCCATTCTTGATGTAGACACTTAAATATGTGTGTCTTATACTGAAGCCATGTATCATGGTATCATAATTTTTTTATACCAGCTCATATGCGCTCGTTTTAAGCCATAGAGTGTTTCTTTCAACAATTACACAATTCCATCTTAAGCAGTGTAACTAGAAGGTACATCCCTGATGATCTCCTCCTTCAAACTCCATTAATGAAAGTTGGCCTGACATCCGACTACTTTAGTCTACAATCACTCAGCCATTTCAATCTAGACTAAGAGCATCTTGACTGCACCATTTGCCATCAACCTATTGTGTACTTCAATATCTCTCGAGTGGCTCTTCTCTTCACCTTGAAGATCCACATGCACCGAATAGTGCTTCTTTCAATAAGGAGTCAACCATCTCCTAGTTGTTATTTCGAATTACCGTGATAAGTATAAAGGCTTCGGAATTTATCAAGAGTCTCACAACAAACATGTAATCCTTCTACTACTCTTGTCATCAATGAAGTAAGGTACCATTGTGCAATCTCTGGGCTTTAGCAGATCACTTTCTCATATACATCTGAATGCATCAGATCAATACCAACAAATTTTTTTTCTGTGATGAATTTTTGAAACATGATGTCTTGAGTATTTTCCCATCGAATCAATCAATAGTGTCAAGTGTAAAGATTATTTTGACATTTTCACACCATTTTCTATATTCTCCAAGAGTCTCATACTAGAGTAAGAAAGATGTCACAACATCCTATGCTAAAACATCATTGGATGCTCATGTGTAGTTATGCATATTGTGACTTTAACTCCAAAATAATAATGTAAAACATTGGGTCTTACATGTCCATACTTATCTCTAGTAGAAGGCTATCTTCTAAAGTGCCCATCAAAACCATCTTCCTCACTCACATCATGGTTACAAAAAATTGTCATAAACCTCATAGGATGTTTCTTGTCCATGTTAATCCTCCCGACGCAATGATGACCAATTTCTACAATTCCAAGATTCTAAGGTTCATTATTATTCATTTCACTCTCTACATACTTCCACATCTCGTTCATCCATAAAGACTCACAAATTTTATAGACTGCTGAAATTTCAGGATGATAGCCTCGCTCAAAAACCTATCCTAAGGTGGCTGGTGGTTGCAACACACTGCTTGAGACCCTTAATAAGTACTTATATATGATACACGTTAGTAACTAAACATTTCTATATACTATTTCAAATATAAGGAAATACAATATCAATTTCAGATTGATGATTATTTCACATGGTTTGCATTATTGTTTGTGTAGTAGTAAGAAGCTGTCATAAGGAAGATATGTAGATAAATGTGCACGAGATTCAAAATCTTTCGCTAACATTCTGTTGTAGAGTATGCCCTGACACCAATATATACATTGAGTAGCGGGGTTTTTTAAGATTAGTCATAACTTCACTCCTCGTCACATCTTATTTAATATTCAACTCGTCAAAGAAATCTTTGTCACTTTCTTCTCTTTCATAGAAGGAATCAACATTACCAACAGAAAATGGGTATTCATTGCACGTCCCCTGCGTAGACACGTCCACATAGCGTGTCTTTCTCTTCTGCCTCAGTCCTGTTATGATAACTGATCAGTGATCACTGTCTTCAAGATTGGAAATGCAGCATGACTTATAGGACTGCATAAGTTTGAACCTTTCCCCTAATTAAGGAAAAGGGATGAACCCTATAAAGGAGATGAATGTTAGTTCTGTCAGTTTACAAATGATATTGAGAATATTGGATAAAAGAGAAGATATTTAGAAGTCTGTCAGATGATGAACTGAAAGATCTAGACATTAAGAATGTCCAAGAACCTTGAATTCAATGCTGATCGATTCTGCTCATCCATCTCACTAACACACAGGCATGTGCTTACCTCCATATCAGTGTACTTCTGATTAAATGTCTAAAAAGAATTAAGAGTTTATGTGGCAAGAAATAAGAAGGAGCGAATTGAGAAAAGGTAAAATTAATTGTACGTTTCTGAACCCAGCAAAATAATGTAGATGTGCATTCCTCTCCTGGAGTCTGCTCATCTCTCTAACGATGGAGGCCAGTGATTGTGAATTAGCAGTATATTCCACCATGATCCACGCTAGAACTACGAGAACTCGATGACCGGTCACTCACCAATGCACTTGATGAGGTGTCTCCTATGCCAGCTTCATGGTGCAGTCACTGGAAGCAGAAGATTCGTCTCCATATGGCATTTGAGACTCACGAGGCGTGTCATTCTCGGGGTCTCTTCTAGCAACAGCCCGTAGGGCCAACTGAACTCAAATCTGCAGTCTACGGTACGATTGAGGACAGTTTCTCTAAATTACAGACCAAGATCCTATTTGCACGGATGTGAAATGTTTTCAGCTTCTGATGTCGTTAGATGTAAAGGCTTCATAGGATCCTTGTCAGTGAATAAAACTTTTACCCCAGGATGCATCTGAGACCCCGTTCAGTCTTGACCCCAATAGAAGCCCGTTACCATGGCTTGCCTTATGCCACGACGTGCGCATGATCGTCATCCTAATCTGAGAAGTTTTCGTTCCACATGTGCGTCTGAAACAACTGCAGCTAGAAGCGCGCACGTTTTCATCCAGATTCGGAAGTATATTGCCTCTTGAGGTGCCCAACCTCATCTTCTACAGACACTGCTGGTTCGAATCTCTCTTCGACAGCCAAATGGAACCAAAGAATAGTCCACTGTCTCCATATCTTCAACAGAAGTTGCCGGTTGGTTCAATTGCGTTTTGTGATCCAGCTGCTGCTTCTCGCACTTCAAGGTTTCTACACTCATGCAAAGGGCCACGAAGTCCTGATTACAGTCCCCGGTTTCCGGACATGTCATGAAGGATCAAGTGTTCATCCAGGTGACTCCTCAAATGCAGAAATATTTGCAGATGTCCGGAGAAAGATGCTTGAATCTGCCCACATCTGTAAACTTATCTGTAATTACCTTTTGCCACTCCTCCCCAGGGTTTGATAGCCAAAATAGAGGCACCTGAGAAGGTTACAGAGGGATATAGATTGTCAATCGTCTCGTTGTTCAGATGTACACAATATTGGACAAAGAAATGCATATCAGGACTGCGGTCTGAAACTAATCTCGTGTATCCTCGCAATCTGAGCGAACCAAGAAATTGAAAAGACTTAAATAAGAAAGACAAAACTCAAAGGCCCTCGGTCGAAACACTATCTCTACGCATGCTCTAAACTTGATGATTGAATGCAAACTGTTCAATTCTTCATCCTCATCATGTAGGTCCAGGCAATGAGCGCAGCCAGGCCATAATTTCGTGCCGTGACAACAAGGCAATGCAAGTATCTAGGCGACTTGTGAGGAATGTGAAATGGTCTACGGGGGCTTATAAGCTGGGCTTTCCCCAGAGATATGGAAGTCAAGGCCAGGCTTAGTAACGACTTGCCTTGGGGAGGTGTAGATCTACAACTGACTTGGTTATGGAGTACCAGATCTGGCAGGCCTATATAAGAGACATCCGCAAGTTCGTGATCGGAGCCAGGGAGCAGCATAGGTATTGATAAGCTTCTCATATGAGGTTCTCGGAGACAGGTAACGCCTGATATCAAAAAAATATCATTATCGGATTTAGTCGACTGCATGATTGCCTTTGTCCCATCCTGTTCATTTCTTGAGTTGAGTGCCTCTCTAAATCCTTGTCTCGGGAATTAGAGCGGTCCACAAATCGAGATATGGCATGCATCTGTCCTCTGAGATCAGCTACATACAAGCTACCAACCAGCCAACCAGCCAACCTCCATGTGAAGTGGATTAGAGCAGACAAGGTGAGAGAGAGAAAACCGACAAATACCATCGACTGCTTAGTCAGTTTTCAGATATCTCCACTCTTGCTGCAACGCCTGGACGCTTTTAGATGTCCAAACGGGACCGACCTTTTGGAAGAAAGAATCAGCATACGTATGCCACCAATGACTAAGGTACGTACAAAGTCCAGCGTGAGAGATTTTTCTTCGGATTTGGCAAAGCTTACTGACGTGAAAGTTGGACTCGACTCGACTCGACTTTGCGAGTAGATAATTTTGTGATGAGATTCTACCGCACCCTTGTGTGCCCGATCGGCCTTGAATTCGACCTTCAGGAGAAAATGGATTTCAACAAAACCTTTTACTTCGAGATACCGTCGCATGTCCCGTTCAAGCTGGTGAGAGCAATATTTCTGAGTACGTTATAGAGGATCGAGCATGTAGTTACCGTTCGGATAGAGAGTGTTCATTCTCCGGCACAACCTTCATGAACTTCAGAAACATTCTAAAATCACTTGTTTTGAAATTCGTCAATGGCAGCGGTTTTGGAGCTCCTGCTTTTTCCAACAGCTCCAGGAAGGCAACGCCCGAAGTTCACGGTCACAACCTGTAGCTAGATCTCGCTTCAAGCTCGAAGTTTCTTGACAGAATAGCATGCACAGTTTCGATCAAGCTTCCTAAGCCCGGGTTCAGCTTCAGCTTCAGCTTCTCGGGCGAAGTATTCAACTCCATAGTAGGTGCTCTATCGGACAAAGAGCTGGATGAGTTCGCCAAATCTCATGTCATCATTGGCATCAGACAGTCGACGAACTGTCTGATGCCAATATTTCATGGCCGGCGAAAATTATCGAGCCTATCCATCATAATGCTTCTGAGCTGATTAGAACTATGCACCATTCGTCGTCTCGGAGGCATTTCTTGTGTGTTTATCAACTCATATGGGCCACTTTGAAGAACTGTACCAGCAAATTCAACTCATAATTTCTTGAGCTCTAAGATTGCTTCCGGACACTGTTCTCTTAAAAAAATTTATCATAATCAACCTGAAAGGTTGTTGGAACTCGAATCGCAGTGTCATCGGAACGCATTCTAAAGTTGGAAGTGGCTTATATGAGTTGTCAAACACACAATAGATTCGTCTGGCTTTGCTGTGATCGGTTGATTGATGTTATAACAAGCGCATGATCTATTGATTGATGCTGGAACTAGTGCATGTCATTGTACTATGTGATGTTCTTCAGGCAGAAAGTCTTCTGAACCAAGTTCCAGGGAAAGAGAAGATCCACAATAGTTCCCTGCCGACTTAATACCACATAAGCCAAATACCCGATTCTCAAAACAGCCCGCGAAAAGAGTTCCACTGGTCTGGGAGTACATTACCAAACATTCCTGCTCCCGACCAACTTCAATCCGGGTTCACCAGCGGTGGAAACCAGGCCTGGACAAAAGCAGCAGCAGCCTCAGTCTTGGTCCAAGGCAACAGGACGATCTGAACATGTTTCTACGCATTGCCATCATTGGCATTAACGGCATCCAAGGATTGGAGGAGATTGTGATGGATCCATGACTGATGCGGGCAACAGAACCCTCATCGAGTCGTGACTTGTTGGTTATCTTTCCTTCAACTGCACGCTTAAGAAACAACCACATCGACTTCTGTTCTGACTGAGAGTTTGGCATAACTGATTGTGGACTTCGTGCTCAATTCACTCGAGGCCGGACCTCATAAAAAGTACAAATGCCTGAGTTTGAAATCCTTCTTTCATTACTCCAGATGCCCTCCAGGGTTTTAGCCTGCTCTCCTCATCGTCACCATTCCTTAAAAGCAGGAGTTGCGATACGAATAATAACAGCGTACCCGTCCCCAAGTTGAGTGGAAATTACATGATGCTCCTGAATTTCACCTTTCTGGCCGAGGTTAGCGCGCAGGACTTTTTATAGACGGACACAACTTTCCACAGGGAAGAGCGCTTGTTCACAAATGAATAGTAATTAAAAATGCCGCGTATAACCGATGAGAAGTGGATGAATATCGTGGGTGGGTTATATATAGTGTTTTGTATCTAAATACTCTGGTTCTCTTAAAATCTGTTCTATTAAAATTACAATTTAAAAAACTTTTATGTGTTTAAATTCAAAATGTTGTTAATGTATATTGATATGTCTAGGTTTAGGATTGTGCAAGGGATATGAAATACGTGAGAGGTTAAAACGAATGGCGGACATGCATCAGATTAGTTGTTAAATACGTTATTTTCAGTCATAATCTTACACCTTTGTTATCTTTTATGTGATTTGTTTCAATACTGTATTCTTTATGTTCCTCTTGGTGAATGAAGACTTGTAGATATGTAAATTGTGTGACGTCAGATTTAAATATGTTTGCGGTAATTTGGAAGACTGGGCCTAGTTGGGGTACACGTTGGATGATACAGATGTAAAACACTCAGATGACACTGGTGTTCAGAAGTGATATTGCTACAGTTAGCAACGAATACATCCGTTGTCTTAAGTCCTTCAAGAAATATTTACTTCAATGGGTTGGTTGATATTATCTATTACGGAAAATCACAAGATTTCCATTTTTGGTGTGTGATACTAATTAGACATTTAAGATGCAGCGTGAAGAATTATACGTTATCGGCTTAAAGTGAAAGATGTCTTCACATCACTTGCTCTGACGGTAGAATTTCATTGTGATGACTGTATTCAGCTCAAAATAGGAAAAGTATGTTCCTCCACCAGGTTCATCAACTTTTTTATATTACCACTTTTCAAGAGATTCCGGAGTAGATGTGTTTACAAGAATCTTTTATAGCAGTTGCTTTTAATTCGGAAGTCATTATAATGGGGGTAACGAATTGTAGAGCACCACGTTGGACGAATAATTGACTCTGAGATCTATGATTGGACTTTGAAGATGAATCGCATGAAAGGATTGTCAAAGATGTGTCCATTCCTCGATCCAAAATTCTGAAACTTTTCAATGTAATATCCTTCAATGTCATAGACCGTAACACCTGTCCTACTCAGCTTAGACACGCCGGAGTAACCTTCAGTGCAGCTCTACTTACAAGGTAATGATGCTTGGGATTCCGTACTACTCTAAAGATAATTATTACGAAGTCTGGAGGAGTAAGAGAATACAAGGAGTTCAAGATAAGCATGGATCCTGGTAGCAGATAAATATCTAGTCAAATCTATTGTTACTAAATAAGACTAGCCATGAACTGAACATGGCGCAGTTGGCTCCATTTGAAACCTAAACAAGATACTCAATTTGGCTCCAGTCCCAACTTCATATTCTTAAGTTGTAGGGGGTGTATGAATGTGGCATGGACGTAAAACGACATCATGCCCATATTATATCATTTACTACTCCAGCTGTTACGTCAGTTGGTATATCAGTTTGCAGCTCGACTCTTGGAGTCTAAAGACCCTAAAGGATAAACTACAAATTGACTTAGCTGTAGCGAGTCATTACCATGTTACGCCCTATGTATACTAGCACCTCGTAATCATTGACTTTTGAAGCAATGCACGAATAACCAACAGTACTCAAAATATAGAAATACTCCACATAGAGAACAACCACCCTTAACGAATCTCAGCATCAGCCATGAAGCAAATAGCACTCCATGTTCTTTTCAGAGAAACATAGGTTACATAATTTCTTTTCCGACATCGCATGAAGCCTATTGATCTGTAGATACAAAGACCATTACCCATACCTATATCTTCCTTAACGAAATTTGGCCTACTGCAGCAGTTTCAACAAGCGAGGTAAAGTCACGGCTCCAGGTCCGTACCCATCGAGAGCTGCTTTGGCTCCTGGAAATTCGCCCCTCGTGGTCACACTGCCAGCACACAAGACGAAATTCATGCTTAGATCACCCAAACAAAGCACAATTTGATATATGGTTGATTGATTCCATCAATGGATACATGAAAAAAACGATGTCAGAACAATTCCCTTCAAGATCCAACTATGTTTCTATGTGTCGAGAAATGATGGCAAAGCACACCAACATTACTTCCAACAAGAATCCTGTTCTCACCTGCTTCTGACTACAACACATGGCATTCCAATTTTTTGGGCTGCTTGGGCCCCTGAATGTCCACTGGCCATTAGTATGCATCGATCAACTCCCCGTTCTGCAATTTCAGACCCAGCTCTAAGGGCTGCAATAGCTTTCTTTGATCTGCAGAGAGATCCGCATGACGCTGTAAGTATTCATTGAGTTTCCAACATCCAAAGTAAGACACAGATTTCATTTAATTGTTATCGTATTCCGAAAGAAGAGTATTCCAGACTAATGGCTGCTTACAAGTATCTCATCTTTCCTTCAAGGCGTTCAAGGCAAATAGGGAAACCTACTGGACACTGCCAGTTACTTGAAATTGACTTAGCCCGGCTTGCACCGGTTCGGGGGCAACCTCTACAAGTTTCCTCAATACTACAGTGAAACCTCGGATGAACATTCTCGGCTTCAGAATGTGGCACAAAATGGCAGGATTCAGACGAACATGAATCCCAACGTACGTGAATACCATAGCCATCAGTACAGGGAAAAGAACACTCAACCATGTGCAATTAATGTCACCACGTCAATAGCTAGTAAATTTATGAAGTAAAGCACTAAAATAACTCATGTGAACTGAACATTTATTTTGTTGCTTTCCTCACCTAGTGAGGTTATTTACCGATACAGAAACTCTTCCGTCTACTCAGTACTCAGAAACAACTGACACTTCCTTATCTCGTTCATCTACAAAAATTGACTAGAGGGAAAATTCAATTGTCCTTTAAATCAAAGTTTTCTTTGGGACTATTTGCAACCTCTACATCCATCCTAGTTATATTCATAGATACTAGGCATTGTTCAGAATGACTAACGGTAAAGAGATTTATTTATAGCTGACAAACTATGTAGGGTTGTGAGTCTCATAGTTTTCAATTTCAGTAGTGCTGGCTAATTCGAAGGACAAACACACTCACATTTGAACGTAGCTTGTATCAACTTCGACACTTAGCTTCAACATAGATGCCACTTCTTCGGCTAGCCTCTGCTTCTCTGCTGCCACTGTTAAAAAGGCGAAGACTGAAAATTAGAGACTGAACAAGAAGTGACAGAGAGTGAGTCCTTCAAGAGCTGCATTCCGACTCTCTGATAACGAAAAACTCTCCACATATAAAACCAAATAAATTGAGAAAAAGGCTGCCCACCTGCTCTTGAAGCGGCTGCAGCAAGTTGCTCATCAGCACCAGACGACACTCCTTCGCCTAGTACTAGCTGCCCATAAAAACTATTAACTACGACATCTTCATCGACGATTCTAATTTTTTGCGCACGTTCTGCACCAAGCTTTTCCACTAGCAACCTGTGAAGCACATTACCGGCAGATCTTCAGGTCACTAGCTGGTCCAGAGGTCTGGCGCTACCTCCATTCCCGGTGTTCGAAATTCTCAATTAGCTCGTTCATGCATAATTGCTGAAACTTACACTTCCTTCAATTTTCCAGCGACAAAGGTGCATCTCAGAAAGAACAGGCTCTATTGATTAAAAAAAAACACTCACAGCGGAGTTCATCCTTAGATATGCGCTAGAAGACAAACAAAGTGTAACACACATGATCTCTTCGCAAAGAGGGGCTGGCAAACTGGTACAGAGAAGTGCAAAACCTTCCAAGCTCTTCGCCCTCCTTATAATAAGCAGATATGACTACCAAAGGAACTTCAGCTTCTAAAACTTCGTCTATGAACCTGCGCATTGTCGTGAAAAGGTTTATTTGTAGAGATCACATTGACAACTCTAAAGTCACGGATGCGCCAGAGGAAATGTACATGGCGAACAGATTGTTTGAGTAATCAAAAATGGTAAGATACAATGCACGTACTGTTCAAGGCCAGGTCTGAGAGGTAGACTGCCCGCTAAAGCAAATTTTCCAAGAGCCTTCCTCTGTTGATGTATACAACCAAAGGGAAAAAAAAACCCACGGGTAGAAAATTGAGATATGAATCCAGTTAGTGATCATACCAAATTGTTTCAAATGAAGTACTTCTTAGCACTGCAATCTACGATTGGTAAACTGGCATGAATATTCCATAAACAAATGCAGGATCAGGTAACCAACCTTAGCTTCCATCACTTTCTTTACAAAGAGGTCTTTTTCGTTGTTGGGGAGTGCAGCGGGCCAGCCTATCTGTGGATCACGGACAAAGTTGAAAGAAAAGATATTAACGGAAAGGACTTAATCTTGTGACATCCAAAGCCCTTTGCGTTCTATTAGGTGCAGCAAACATCCGGAAACACTCCAAACAAAGAAAAAGTAGAAATTGAACAATGCATCAAATGAAATTTCTACAGATGCTTCAAAGTGATGGACAGATTTTGTGTAGTGGAAGATAGATTTCGCAATGAAAAATAGATGTTTCCTTGTCTAGATGGCGGCTAACATCAAGTGCTTGAAAAGCACTAGATGGACTCGATGAAAGAAAACAAAACCACATGTAACTACCAAAAATTGAAGTCCACTGAACGGACACGTGGAAACAAGAGAATGGCAATACGTACTCTAGAAAAGAAAATCGATAACATCTTCTCTTCTGCACCACCTGCAGCTCTGTAAAATGAATCTCATCAGTCATTCGTGCCATGTATAGATCAATTTGTGAAATCGATGCTTGGAACTGATGGTCCACGGAAACCCAGAGGGACTGTGGGGAACAAGGTTTGAAAATTACAAGTCAAGTGGATAGAAAAGAGAACCTCATGAGATCGGCGTATACAGCCTCACTCCATTGAGCACAGTCCAATCCCAAGTCTTGAAAAGCTGGCAGATGACAAAGAAACGCGGCAATTTAAATTAAGCAATTTAAACTTAAAAAGAAAAAGAGAAAATAAAAGTGAAAAACAAATTCAGCATACTTAAACTAACCCCGAAAATCTCGAAATTCACGGACAGAGACTGCGATCTGCCAATACACTTAACACTCCATATACCTACAAATTGAGCACGACAGACAGCAAAATTAAGCATCTCGAAATAGATTGACTAACCTTCATTGAAAGCTAGACGGTTTCCATACCTATGCACGTCGGACATCACACTGCACAATCACTCCACATAGTAGTATGGATCCGTATGAGCGCTCAAAAGATGTGAGAACAGAGCAAAACTACACCCATCCAGCGCATCATACCGAAAGAGAGAATGCAAGTAATTAGGAAAGCGCCATATTTGCAGACACGTCCTCGTCAGGACTACCGTTTGTAAAAATTGTTGAGGAGAAGATATTAAAGGCAGAAATATAGAGAAGCTTCTTGCACAAGTACTGAAGTCTCGAGAGTGCTGCACTGAAGCTTCCAAATTAAGCATTGGTGTTCGGATTATGACGAATCGTATATAATCAAGACTTGAGCACTTGATCCTCCTGAAGGCTAAGATATAAAATTCGAAGTGAAGAACACGAATTGGCCTCTGAATTCTCCACAATGTACCTGTTCAGTTCTTAAACGTGGCGCTATCAAGAAATTTCTGTACTTCGCGAAGTAGAAGGCTGACAGAATTTCCGAAAGTCAAGAAAAAAATGGGTGGAAAGTGGGGTATCGGAGAGAGAAAAAATACCCCTCAATCTCCATGAGTACAGCTGCATTTGATTGGATCCCTGGTCTTGTGTCGGATTCCATGGCCCTGGCCACACCGGCGCTCGAAACCTTCCTAAAATATGTCTTCCGATCGCGCACCGATTCCGTAAAACTGCATGATCTCAACCGCAACCTCTGAGGAACTGAAGCGCCTCCCAAGACGACGCCATATCTATTCTGCTGAGTGAAATCGCCGAGACTAAAGGCCACCGACTGGGCTGACAGAGGGCCGACAACGGCCCTTTCCATCGTGCTAATTTACACCCACAAGTCGACCCGAGCTGAGATTCGGAAAAACCTCCAAGATTCTTCAAATCCAAATCCAATCACAACCTGTGTTCCGAAACCAATATCCCCTACCACGCAAATTCAAACCAACGCCGAAAATCATCCAAACATCCCCGCAGCTCCGCTCGGAACGTCGAAATTGCCGTCGAATCTCACAAGACCAGCCTGAGCTTCACTGCCATCACCATTCCGACTCCAGACTCTCGCCTCTGCCTCCGGAACGCCCTCCCTCCGCTGCTTCCGAACTCATATCTGGACCAGCATTGGCTGCAGATTCCGAAACACTCTCCGGGTGCCAAAAGTGCGACGATTCTGTAGCCGGCGCATGACGAAACCGTGGACGCATTCAAATATGCGAGTTCATTGAATTGAGTCAGCATCTGGCTGCAATCAAGGAATGCCAAGGGGGATTCGAAGCCCCCACCTCTCCTTCCTCCTCCTCTCCCTCCCTTACCCCTGCGCCTCGTGACTGCCCGGGTGTCCGCCTCTGCTCGCTCCGGGCCCCCGGTCCGGCCACCCGTCTTGGGTTGCGTGCACCCGCGCTAACGGTCCGCGAGGCCCCATCACCCCTTCCTGCCTATCTATCTCCCTATCCTCCTTCCGCGCCAACCCGGCGCTGCCACTTGTCCGCGCCCAGGCGCGCGTCGGAGGCGCGCCTCCTCCATGCACTTTGCCGAAGCTGCCGTGGTCCCCGACCTCCTCGATGTTCAACCTCGGGCTCGGGAAGTTTTGTCGATCGACATTCGGTACCGGCGAGTGATTTCCACGGGCCGCGACTCCGTTTCTCGGTCCCGCGGAAGTGGAAGTAATGCACGGTCGCCTGACCGGTTGACTTCCCGGTGCCGTGAAGGATGGGTGGGTCCTGGTTCTCTCTCGATTGCACTTAAAGTAAAAACTGTGTACGCTGGTTCCGCAGGTTGTACTCTTTCCGGCTGTCTAGGAAAAGGAATCTCTCGATTGACTCGGATGACCGCGTCACAGTCGCTTCGGAATATCCCATCGGAGTTCTTTCGTGCCTGACTGTGTACGTACCTTCGGCCTCAATGCCAAGGATAACGCTTATAGAGGTGGAAGAAGGAGTGATCGAGATTCCAGATCCGGACCGTCCCACACGTGTCCAGATCCTTGTGTGCAAGCTAGACTCCATGCAATCTTCAAATGGTTCTCGGTTTGTTATTGACATATGTTACGTTGAGCAGTAGCCGGTACTACTTATGAACAGGACTGATTAGGTAGTGGGCGACTAAATTGTTTAAATTATATTATATTAACTTGATTCAGTGGCATGGGGGAGATCTTTGTTTGGGTAAATTTTGGCAGTGTGTAAATGTGAATTTTATTTCACGTGCAAATTGTTGTTCAAAATGTTGAATGAACATCTATTGCACCATGTAAACCTAAACATCGTTCCAAAATCTGCCCAAATGTCCTTATAGTGCTTGAATTCAAGCATGTTTGGCAAACCCCATATAAACAACACAATCGTATCCATCCAGAATTGCTTCATACTTGGAACGGGGAAAACACTTTTTTTTCTCATTAGGTACCACATTACCATGATCTTCAAAATTCCCTATTGGCTATAACCTTAACATGTTTTAAATAATCTCTTTAGGGTTTAAGAAAGTGTAACTATCAAATTCAAAACTTCAAACGTAAGAACAAAATTTGTAGAGCAAAATCTTTAGATCATCATGCTATGGTACCTGAAAGACATAAACTTAACATAATCACAATCTAAATGACTTCATTGAGATAAAGTCAGCAATAATTCTTTTAATAGCAATTTTGAGAGCAGTATTTAAGGTTGGCCAATAGTCTGATTCTCCCCTACTTTTATGAAAATCATTCCCATTTGAGAGAGATGTACATTTGTAGTTAGAACTAACGTTATTACGATCAAACACACGAGATTGGATGGCAAGATCTATTTGTCCAACATCCGCAGTGGAAAAAACTGTTGTAAGAATAGTATCTAACAGCGGAGCATCTTACTCTTCACTTCTTTTAGTCCATAAGTAAAAGATGTTTTAGTTTCTTTCCAATTCACTATGGCTTCCGCCATCCTCAACCAAGATCTGCCTAGGAAGATGGGTAACGTGTCCTTGGTTGAATGCATTCTAATGACATCAAAAATAACTGAATAGTACTCTCCTCTTGTGAGGGTCCTAGAATCTTTAATCATTCCTAAAGGCACCGTTGGACTTTGATTAGCCTTGTTGAAAATGAAAGGTGTTTGACATGTTAGACCAAGATCCAACTTCATATTATGCTCTGCCAGAATAATCACCCCACTTTCTCCATCAACTAGTACATTGGACAACAACTCCTCTACAACCACAACCTCTATCTTCACTTTCTTAACATCACGACCTACTCCCTTCAACTAAACTCATGTAGCAACCTTAGTTTTCACCTTCCTTGTTCTCATAGCCACCAGCATCCCTTCCTTAAGAGACTTATGAGCCATGGATGACAATTCGAGTAGTTGTTTGGACATAATGTCAGCCTTGAGAGAGCTGAGGTCAATCCACAAGTCATATCTTTCTACATCCTCACTTTCTTGACCGCATCAATCTCTTCCAAAGGAGAACTAGGTTCTTTTCATTCTACTAGTTTTTTATTTTTCAAATCTTGAATAAAAGGTGGTGTCTTTTTGTCATGCAAAATCTCATTTTCTTCTCTCCAATGCCCTAGTAGTACTTTGGCTCTTCTAGCTACGTTTTCTAAATCTGAAAGATGAGTATACTACTTTAAAGAACTTTTCTCCTGCACATCCGCATCTTTTTTGGTTCTAATGTTATGATGCATTGCTCTAGTGATGACTGCTAGAGCTAAAGCTTGATGTATAATCACATCACTCAAAATTTTCAATTCATAAGTAATAACATTAGTATTTGGAGGTTATTGGTTCTATTATTTTCCAACAATTATTTGGATAAGAAGAATTTCCAGGTTGTGTCGTAATCACAAAAAGATCTTCATCTATCAACTTGTCATCCATTGGACTAGTTTCTATATGTTCTGAAAGTTCAGACAAATGATCAGCTTGTAAGTGCATTCAACCAAGTTTGTACTCTACAGAGTAATCAAACTCTTCTAGCAACAAGAATCATCTAGCTAACCTCCCACTCAACTTTGCCTTGTTTACTAAATATTTGATAGTCATGTGATCGATAAAGAACATCAACGGGTTGCACATGAGATAATGCCAAAATAATTTAACTGAGAACACAATAGCCAAACATGCTCTCTTAGTGGTAGTATAATTTTTCCGGCGTTGATTGCTTGCTAGCATAAACAATGGGTTGATCCGTGAACTTCTCTCCTATTGATTGACATAATGCACTACCAATTGCTACATTGCTAGTATCACAAAAAACGTGAAAAAGGTTTGTTCCAATCGATGATGTCAACATTGGATAGCTAATCAGCTTAGACTTTACCTCCTCAAATGCTCTTCCGCAAGCCTTCGTACACTCAAAATTACAGTTTTTTTTGAGCAATTGTATGATAATAATCACTAACCTAGCAAAATCTAGAATTAATTTCCAATTACATCCCAAATGATCCAACAACTTCACAATTACTTTAGCATTGATTGAAGTTGCCAACTGATCAATGACTGCACTTTTTTCCGGATCTAGTTTCCGTCCCTTCTCAGTGAACACATATCCTAGTAGAACTTCTCTGTTAACGCCAAGAAGGTTTTTTTTGGCATTCAAAGACAATTGCATTTTACAACAGCATTGATCAATACTCTCTCGCACACTGTAGATGATCACTAATGCTAGATTGAGTGCTAAAGTCGTCGATGAAGACTGTCATAGATTTGAACAAAAGTTCAAAGAATATGTACGTAATCAATCTCTATAAAGTGGCCTGAGCATTGCACGGCCAAACGGCATGATAATCTACACGAAGGTCCCTCATGGAGTCATGAAAATTGTCTTATTCACATCTTGCAATGCTATGGCGATTTGATTCTAGCCCAAATATCTGTCCATGAAGTTGTATCCAGCATGTATACCCATTTACTCCAAAACTAGAGTGATAAAAGGCAAGGAAAAATGATCCAAGCATTTAGTCTCCTATAGTCCACACATAACCTCAATTTTTCATTTTTTTTCTTCACCAAACTCATAGTAAAAACCCAATTCGTAATTTTCACTGGTTTGATAAACCCAACTTGCAATAATCATTCTAACTCTACTCTTACCAGTAGTTGTAATTGTGGATTCATAATTCTCTTCTTCTGTCTAACTAGTCGAGCACTTGGAATCAAAGGAATACGATGCTCAACCATCTCACGAGTAATTCCTTTGAGATCATCATATGACCAAGCAAATGTGTCACTAAACTCGTCCACGAGTTTGCCATACTCCTTAATCTCATCATACTCCAACTTAACCACTCCCACCAAAGTGTCATCACATTTGGCCTCGTTTTTCTCTTCTTCTCTCTCCAAAGATAGCTCAAGATACTCTCTTATCCTCTCACTTAAGGATCCTATTGAAACCTTGACTTTGTTATCCTGAGGACCATATCTGATTGATGGCTTCAGTCCTCTCCACTTCACAATGGCATTAGCCATCCTAAACCAAGGTCTTCTCAATAGAATGAGGAAGGTGTCCTTGTTCGAGTGCATCTTAATCACAGGAAAAGTGACAATATACTCCTCACCACTCGTGCTAAGACGATAGTCTTTAATCATCCCCACTGGTACTGCTGAAATTTGATTGGCCATATTAATGATGAAAGGTGATGGTCTAGTCAAATTCAAAGCTAACTTTCTCATGGTGTGTTTAGTTAATATGTTCAAACCACTACTTCCATCAACTAATACATTAGGAATCACCTTGTCTACTACTATCACCTCTGATTTGACATCACGACTTCCTTCTTGCAATTGCATTCGAGTAGCCACAGTAGACTTCATCTTTCTACTTCTTCTATTCATTGGCATACTCTCCTTCAAGGTCTTACAAACGATGGAAGATATTTCTAGCAATTGACCAAAAGTGATGTCTAACTTCAGCGAACTTAGATCTGATCACAAATCGTACTTCCCAAACTCTCCTCTTTTGTGACATTTCATGCCCTCCCACTCTTTCATGGGAATGTCAAGTCCTTCCCATTCTCTAGATTCACTACTTCTCAAATCTTGCATGACATGTGGTGCCTCTGTATCATGCAGAACCTCGTTTCTTTTCTCCTCAGTCCTTGTAGTCCTCTTAGCTTTCCTGGCCACTCTCTCGAGATCAAAAAGATGAGGAGTCTCCTCTTAAGAACTCTCTCCTTCCTCATCCTCATTCTTCTCAATTCGCATCCTTCAATACATAGCTCTTATGGTGATAGCAAGAGCATGAGCTTCCTACATAATTACATCATCCA